CAAGCAGTCACACTCCAAACTCCACTACGGTGAAGGCCAAAAAGCTGGCGAAGGACACCAGAAACAAAATTGTCGCTCTGCACCAGACTGGATCTGCAATAGGCAAGCAGCTTGGTGTGAAGAAATCAACTGTGGGAGCAATAATTAGAAAATGGAAGAGAAACAAGACCACTGATGATCTTCCTCGATCTGGGGCTCCACGCAAGATCTCACCCCATGGGGTCAAAATGATCACAAGAACGGTGAACAAAAATCCCAGAACCACATGGGGGAATCTAGAGAATGACCTGCAGAGAGCTGGGACCAACGTCGCAAAGGCTACCATCAGTAACAGACTACACCACTGCTAGGGACTCAGATCCTGCAGTGCCAGACTTGCCCCCCTGCTTAAGCCAGTACATGTCCGGGACCGACTGAAGCTTGCTAGAGAGCATTTGGATGGTCCAGAAGAGTATTGGGAGAATGTCATATGGTCAGATGAAACAAAAGGAGAATTGTTTGGCAGAAACACAACTCTTTGTGTTTGGAGGAGAAAGAATGCAGAGTTGCACCCAAAGAACACCATACACCTACTGTGAAGCATGGGGGTGGCAACATCATGCTTTGGGGGGACCTGGGCGACTGATACGAAAGAATGAATGTGGTCATGTATCGTGAGATTTTGAGTGCAAACCTCCTTCCATCTGTTATTGGAGTAGATGTGTCCCGCCCCCCCCCCCCTTGTGGGAAAGCTTGACTCCACAACCCCTGCCATGAGTACTACTCCGCATATTATCTGCTTCTCTCTTTTATCTTGTCTGAGTTTTTAATTAGTTTTAATTAGTTTGTTTTTTAATCATTACATGCAACCCGCCCATTGTTTCTGTGCCTGTGTCTATTGTAATTCTTATACTGTTATGTATTCATAAGTTTTATGTAATTACTAGCTGTCTCTTGCCACGCGTTGCTGTGGCCCAGTATGTTGATCAGGAAAATAAAGTAATGAGAAAGTGTTGGTTTCTAATATATGTCATTTCTTTATGCTTGTGGGTAAACAGTATTTCTTGCTGTTTCTTTGTCAGTGTTGATGTGGAGAGTGTCTGGTTTGCCCACCCTGGAACATGCAACATATAAATGTCCTTCTTCAGGGGTCCCTTTCAAATCTATGATACTATATATGTGAGTGTGTGTGAATCATATCGATCTATCTATATCTGGATGGCTCTTTGTGAAGAAGGCTTTGATTACGTTTTCTTGCCCTGGTGAAGGGGGTTGGACTGGATGGCCTTAAGTATTTTCTGTTGGTCATGGGGATTCTGTGTGGGAAGTTTGCCCCGATTCTGTTGTTCGTGGAGTTCAGGAATGCTCATTGATTGTAGGTGAAATCTGAATCCCAGTGACTACAGATCCCAAATGTCAAGGTCTATTTTCCCCAAACTCCATCTGTGTTCATATTTGGGCGTATTGAGTGCTTGTGCCAAGTTTGGTCCAGATCCATCATTGTTTGAGTCCACAGTGCTCTCTGGATGTAGGTGAACTACAACTCCCAAACTCAAGGTCAATGCCCACCAAACCCTTCCAGTATTTTCTGTTGGTCATGGGAGTTCTGTGTGCCAAGTTTGATTCAATTTCATCGTTGATGGGAGTTCAGAATGCTCTTTGATTGTAGGTGAACTACAAATCCCAGCAACTACAACTCCCAAATGACAAAATCATAATTTTTTGAGTGATGGTCACTCCTTGTGTTGTGAGACGTTTTGTTGCCAAATTTGGTGTGATTTCGTTCAGTGGTTCTTTTGTTTTTAAGGTACTCATTATGCACAGAGCATTTATATAGATATAGATGATGTTTTTTATTGTTTGTGTTTTCAGTTGTGTTTTGGTTTTCTTTATTGTAATTGTTATTCGGGCCTGGCTCCATGTAAGCCACTCCGAGTCCCCATTGGGGAGATGGTGGCGGGGTAAAAATAAAGTTTATGATGATGATGATGATTATTATTATTATTCCATCATCAAGGGCACTGAAGATGACACGTGGCTGGGTCTTTCAGCATGACAATGATCCCAAGCACACCTCCAGGACAACGAAGGAGTGGCTTCTTAAGAAGCATTTCAAGGTCTTGGAGTGGCCTAGCCAGTCTCCAGATCTCAACCCTATAGAAAACCTTTGGAGGGAGTTGAATGTCCGTGTTGCCCAACAACAGCCCCAAAACGTCACAGCTCTTGAGAAGATCTGCATGGAGGAATGGGCCAACAGACCAGCAATAGTGTGTGTGCCAATCTTGTGAGGACTTACAGAAAACATTTGACCTCTGTCACTTCCAATAAAGGATATATAACAAAGTATTGAGATGAACTTTCGTTATGGACCAAATACTTATTTTCCACCATAGTTTGCAAATAAATTTGTTAAAAACCAGACAATGTGATTTTCTGGATGTGTTTTCTCATGTTGTCTCTCATAGTTGAGGTCTACCTATGATGTCAATTACAGGCCTCTCTCATCTTTTGAAGTGGGAGAACTTGTACAATTGGTATCTGACTAAATACTTTTTTTTCTGACTGTATGTATGTACTGTGTCTGTCCTGTCAGTGTATAATGGCACTGAATGTTTGCTGTATATGTGTTCTGTGATCTGTCCTGAGTCCCCTTCGGGGTGAGAAGGGTGGAATAGAAATACTGTAAATAAATAAATAAAAATATAAAAAGAATTAAAATAAAATAAGCAATACAATATAAGAAATGAAATATAAAAAGTAAAATATAAAAAGTAATAACATGTAAAAAATAAACTATAAAAAGAAATGAAATGTAAAAAGTAAAATATAAAAAGAAATGAATAAAGAAATATATAAAACGAAATATAAAAAGAAATACAATATAAAAATAAAATAGAAAAATGAAATGTACAAAAAGTAAAATATAAAAAGAAATCTATATAGATAATAGAAGTGAAAATACAGTATGTATGTGTGTTTGTGGCTGGGGTGTCCACTTTCACAGATAGGCTCTCAGTTCCACACATATGTATAGCTCCCATTACTCAGGAGACACCAATGGCCCTCCCTCTAATTGCATTGCAGGTTACGACAACCTCCGTAAACATGTCCAAGAGCCCTGCCACAAGCACCACACTGCCCACCACCCAAGGGAAGGCTTTCATACAGGGATCATTTCACACTATATTTCATGTGTTTCCTCCACCACAGACATCCCAGTGTTCCTTATTCTCCATTGGTGTGGAATTTGCATGACCCCACCCCACTACCTCTCCCTTAACCCTTTCCTATTCTTTTCTATTGCACACAGCAAACAGAGGAATTGATTAGTGGGATCAGAGGAATTGAACACACTAGAGAGGTTTGGGGAGAATTCACCATGATTTACAGGAGTTTTAGGTACTGGGATGTATAGTTCATCTGCAATCTAAGAGCACTCTGAACTCCATCGACGATGGACCTGTAACTAACTGGGCACAAGAACCTCCATGAGCAACAAGACATACTGGAGGTATTGGGAGGGATTCATAGGAGTTATAGTTCACCTACACCCAGAGCGCACTATGAACCCAAACAATGATGGATCTGGACCAAACTTGGCATGCATACCCAATATGCACAAATTTGAATATAGGTGGGTTTTGAGGGGAATTGGCTTAGTCATTTTGGAATTGTAGTTACAGGGATTTATAATTGACTTGCAATCAGTGAGCACTCTGAACTCCACAAAAGATGGAATTGGACCAAACTTGACAGAGCCCCGATGACCAGCAAAAAATACTGGAGGTCTTTGGGGAAAATTCATCCCAATTTGGGGAAGTTGTAGTTCACCTACCTCCAGAGAGCACTGTGAACCCAAAAACCAATGGATCTGGACCAAACTTGGCACACATACCTAATAGGCCAAAATTTTATTACTGGAGAGGTTTGGGGGGAACTGACCTTAATTTCCGGAAGTTGCAGTTCACCCACAACCAGAGAAAGTGACCACCGATGATGGACCTGGACCAAACTGGACCACACAGAACCCCCATGACTAACTCAATCCTACTGGAGCGGTTTGAGGGGACTGACTCACCATAGTGGGAGTTAGAGTTTACCCTACAGCCAGAGAGCACACTGAACTCCTCCGATGATGCACCTAGAGAGCAAACTTGCCCAACATGACAAACTTTAACCACTGATGGAGATTCAGGGGGTTCACCCACAACTTTATACATTTTTTACAATTAAAAAATGACTTTTTCAAATAACCCGGGCAACGCCAGGGACCCAAGCTAGTAAAATATAAAAATAAATAATAAAATATAGGAAGAATTAAACTATGAACAGAAATAAAATATAAAAATATAATGTAATAATAAAATAAAATACACCTAATAAAAGTGAAAATGTATATGTATGTGGCGGAGGTGTCCACTTACACAGACAGCCTCCCGCCTCCACAAACAGGCTATAACACACAGTGCCGAAGAGCCACCAAAAGCCCTCCCTCCAAGGACATTGCAGGTTATAGCCGGGGCCATGAACATGTCTCCCAACTCCTGCCAATGTCCTCCTCAAACACCATACTGCCCACCACTCAAGGAATGCTTTCATTCGGGCACAATATCTTCTTAGATTTTTGGTTTTACCTCCAGATGGGCATCACAGGGTTCCTTACTCTTTCCATAGCTGTGAAATTTGCATGACCCCGCCCACTGCCTCTCCCTTAACCCTTTCCTACAGCACAAAGCAAACAGGAATTGATCAGCAACTGAACAAGAGTTTTGGGAAGAATGTAGGTGAACTATTGTGTGTGTGTATATATATATATATATACACACACAGATAATATAAAGAAATAAAATGGAAAATATAAAAAATATAAAATATAAAAATATTTTTAAAATAAACTATAAAAAGCAATAAAATATAAAATAAAAATGTATTCCACCTCAAACCTCAATATTACCATTTATTTTCATGCAATAAACAAAAATTATATCAGTTTGTTTTGCCAAAAGAAACCACACACATACTTTAAATGTCAATCATTTTTAATATCTTTAAATATATTTTCCATAATTTAAATACAAGGAAAACAAGGAGAGGAAATGAGGAAGTCTTCAATATTCCAATATTTATTTACTAGAATTAATTAAAAATAAAATCCATGGCATGAGGGAAATAAATTGTGCAAATTTATATTCAATTGTATTTCTTAAAAAACCAAGTCTTTTATTTTGTTTATTTATTTTCTCTAGATCTTCACCCAGAAATTTAACAAAATCTCATTATTGATGAACAACAGTTCATAATCTCAAAAAAGAAAGCTGTAATAAAATAAAATTATCAGAAAAAAACAAGAAATGGAACATTTCGTAGTATTCTGAAAAAGAAAAAATGCAAAAAATATTGTAAGACCAAAAATAAGAAAAACATTCACATTAAAACAGGATGCAAAGAATGGGAAACAGAACGTTCTAGAATGTTTTGGAACATTCGGGGGGGGGGGAGCTTAATTAGAAAAAAGTGGGGTGTGGAAAGGCTATATATATATATAGAGAGAGAGAGAGAGAGATCAATCCATCATAAATGGGATCAGATTGCAGATCGTATTGTGGAAAACTTCATGACAAAAAAAATAGGGTATGCAAAGGCTCTCTGTCTCTCTCTCTCTATCTATAATATGGATGAATTAATCATCAACGGGATTGGGTTGTATCGCGGGGAAAATGAGAAATAGAACATTCTGGGGAAAAAATAACAATAATCCCCCCCAAAAAAGGAAAGAAAAAAAAATAATGGTTCCGAAAATAATAAAAAACGAGATGACTGAAAGGATCTTAAACTAGACAAATCTCCTAAAAAAGCATGTGTGTGTGTGTGTGTGTGCATATATATAATGGAAATTGAACAAACTAATAGGGGAAAAATCTATTTCTGGTATATATATCATTTTCAGGCACAATTGTGTATAATTTCAGTTTTTTAAGGCCGAAGGTTTCTTTCTGTAATTACTATTAATTACAGCTCATTAATTGTTGGGTTGATAAGAGCTTGTTAATGGAGGTATTTATTGAGTTGAAAAAAGTGCTAATTCCAGGCTCGTTTGTCAAAGAAACGAGACCTCAAAACATTAGAAGAAAAATAAAGTTCATGAAATACAACATTAATATACTAAATTGCGGGACTTGTTGGAGCAAAATATTCAGATTTTCTTCTTTAAATCAATGGGATTTTTCCAGATGCGACCCATTCATAAGGAAATGAGAAAAACCTCTGCAAACAGGAAGCAGAAAGGATGAACATTGCAGTGGGCGGCGGCTATCTTAAAAAAATATCCACAGCCATAACTCTCCGTGGAGTATGAAGACAGCGGCCATCTGGAAAGGACAAGGAAGAATCACGACTTTCTTTGGACAGGATTCATTACTAGGAGTCGATTGATTTCGGGAAGGATGAGTGGAGGACTTCCATTGAAGGAAGTAATTCACTTCATAATGTCAATCAGAATGAAGATCGTGGCTATCCTGAAAGGACAACCCACGACGCCCTTTTAGGCCAGACGCCATCTTGGAAAGACAATGGATGAAGAAGGTACTTCACTTCACCACGGATGATGCCTTTACAGCTCTCAATGATTTCATCCAATGAAGGTGAAGGAGGCGGCCATCTTGAAAGAACAATTGACGATGCTCATTTTCAATATGGAAGACATAAGGAAACAGGTGACCCGCCACTGAAAGAAGGAATTCGCTACACCATGGACATCATCTTGGAAACTCAACAATATCATCCCATTAAGATGAAGACAGTGGACATCTTAAAAGGCCAATTGCCGACACTCGTCTAAGAGGAAACGACTTCGTTTGGATAGGACTCGTCAACATTTCGGGAATGGTGAGTGGCTAACATGGAAGACACTTAGAAACGGGGGATCCTCCATTGATAGTAGAAGGAAGTAATGAACATCAGGAAGGACGAGTACCCAATATGGAAGACTTACGTGGAAGGAAGAAATTCATAATGAAGATGAAGACAGTGGCCATCTTGAAAGATGACAATCGATTTTGGGTAGGGCGAGGGCCAATGTGGAGGACTTCCATAGAAGAAAGTAATTCACTTAATAATCTCTTATCTCCTAATGAGGATGAAAACAGCAGCCATCTTGAAAGACCGATCGCCAACTCTCATATAAGAGTAAATGACCTTGCTTGGATTCCCTCGTCAAAACGATCTGGTCACTTCCTGCACAGGAGGTCCTTCCTTTCTATAGTCACCCCAAGTTTCAACTGCCTAAATTAGTCCTCTCTAGGCATTTCCTTGATCCCCTGGTGCAATGCTCCCCACACTATCAGAAGGACGAGTGGCCAATATGGAGGACATTCAGAAATAGGAGTTCTTCCATTGACAGTAGAAGTAAGTAATTAACCACTGCAGATGATGAGTGGCCAATATGGAAGACTTCCATGGAAGGAAGGAATTCATAATGAGGATGAAGATGGCGGCTAAACTGAAAAACCAATCGCTGGCTCTCCTTTGGATCAGAGTCCACCTTGAAAGGCCAATCGGCAACCCTCATCCAAGAGGAAGATGCCTCGTCTGGATAAGACTCGCTGATCAGATTTGGGAAGGAGACAAGGGCGCAATGCAGAGGAACATTGTAGGGCTGTGATCCAGCCTCAGCTTTCTGTGTCATCTTGCTGGGCGCAGAAGGCCTCGAGGTCGGTCAGCCTCTGGAGGAGGAGGGCGTCCAGCTCCCGCCCGCCCAGAGCAGCCTTCTGGGCCCGAGTGAAACCCTGGCTGGCAGGGTGGAGCCTCCCTCGTAGCCGGCGCTTCCTGGGGAGTGTGAAGTCCGGGAATTCCAGCACACGCCTCCGCTTCTGGTGGCTCACCCACACCCAGGCCCCCCCGCGACGCTCCTTTGGCTCCTCAAAGATGGTCTCCAGGGACCTGGAAGTAGAGACAGGAGGAAGGGGGAATTACAAGATGGCACTCACAAGGAGAGAAGGGGCTCCTGAAAGGGAGGAAACATGGTCAATGTTCACCACTCTATCGGAAGAACTTCTATGGAGGCCCGAAGTAGAAACCAAATCATGAATCCCATCATTTTCAATCTCTCACTCTTTACAAGACTCATTTCCATAATTTTCCCTAGATTAAAAAGATGCCTAGCTACACACACCCCCCTCATATGATCCAAACAGGAAGTGGCATGACACCACTTCCTGCTGCAGGGTTCAAACCTTGTGGCTGGAGGCGATTTGTAGTTCTTGTTGGTGTAGATCTCCTCCAAGCTGAACTCGGTCTTCTGTAACCTGGGAAAGGTTCAAGAAAATGGTATTTCAAGATGGCACCCAATTTGTCTATTGTTCAACCCATTATCAGGGCCGGAAGGACTACATCTCCCATAGATGTAGCCTATGTATCCCACCTTTTGGGTCTTGGGAGGCCCATCGGGGTCAGGTTGGGATCTGGCTTCGGGATCGCTTTCCGGATCCGGATCTGTGAGACCTTCTTTGGCTTCTTCTTCTCTGGTTCGGTCTGCGGGCAAAGGAGAAGCATATACAGGAATACAGAACGGTTCTTGGTATCTACTTCACGATTACTCACTATTATCACTTCCTTCTTCCTACTGAAGAAACTAAGAAATGCCTAGGACAGACATATTTTGGTTAAATGAAAATATGGGTAAAATACTGAAATTATGATATTGAAAGGAAGGATTCATGGTCCAAGAGCATCATAGTGTGCTGGTGGACCTAGAAAATGCATAGAAAGGACACAATTTTTCAGACATGGATATTTAACATTATAGCTAATACTGAAATAATAATAATAATAATAATAATAATAATAATAATAATAATAATAATAATGTTTGTGTCCCCTTTAACCTTTCTTATAATGCCAATATAGTAGTAGTAATAGCAGTAGTAATAGTAATAGCTTCTAGAAGAAGACACTATATGAATATATAATATTACATATATATACAAATATTTTTGAAAGGAAGGACTTGTGGTCTAATAATACCATAGAGCTACATTGGAGAAACCCAGAGAGGACATATTTCAGAGAATGAAGGCCATGAATAGCTCATTTCCTTTGGAATACAGGATTTCCTGTGCAGCAATACCATAGACTGGCACTAGAGGACCTAGAAAATGTCCAGAGGGGAAATATTTTGTCAGATGTGGATAAACGAAACCCAGGATAGGATCTAATTCTATGGGTGGGAAGAACTTCCTGCGCAAGGAATGCCACAGAGTTGCACTGGAGAACCTAGGAGATTCCTATAGACAGTCCTGAACTCACGGTCTGAGGGGGAGTAGGGACAGGGACCTCCAGTTCCTCCAATGAATTACAGACAGAAAACGTCGGGGCCGGAAGGCAGGACCAAGGTGGTTCTGGGGTCGACAGGCAGGTCGGCATTGAGGCAGAAAAGGAAGGCTCCCACCTGGGAAGGGGAAAGACCGCAACAGGAAAAGTCTCATAACAAAACTCTACAGCAGGGGTCCTCAAACTTTTTAAACAAGGGGCCAGTTCACTGTCCCTCAGACCGTTGGAGGGCCAAACTATAGGGTTTTTTTTTTAAAAAAAAGAAATCAATTAAAAAAATTCCTATGCACACTGCACATATCTTATTTTGCTGTGTGGAAGGGCCCTTATAAGGGGTTCTTTCTAGTGCTCTTTAGGCAGTAATTCCAGGAGCAGAGAATGGGAAATCTTCCTATTTCTAGTCTGCTTTAGGCAGTAATTCCAGGAGCAGGAAATGGGAAATCCTGCAATCTTATCACTAATATCATCTGCTGTACGTGTGTAGCGAGGGGGTCGGAGAATGGGAAATCTTCTTATTTACAGTCTGCTTTAAGCAGTAATTCCAGGAGCAGAGAATGGGAAATCCTGCAACTGTATGACTAATGTAATCTGCTGTAGGTGTGTGGTGAAGGGATGCGAGAATGGGAAATCTCCCTGTTTCTAGTCTGCTTTAGGCAGTAATTCCAGGAGCAGAGAATGGATAATAATAATAATAATAATAATAATAATAACTTAATTTTTATATCCCGCCAACCATCTCCCCAAGGGGACTCGGGGCGGCTTACAAGGGACAAGCCCAAAAATTACAAATAAAACACAAACAATTAAAAACATCAGATAAAATATAAAAACAATCACAATCATAAATTACATCAAAACAATATGGCTGAGAAAAAGAAAATAGCTGAGGTTCAGGCTCAATGAGTGCAATATATCCTGAAGGGAGCGCAAGGAAAGTGCAACAATCATCCTGCAACTGTATCACTAATATCATCCACTGTAGGTGTGTGGTGAGGGGGTCAGAGAATGGCAAATCTTTCTATTTCCACTCTGCTTTAGGCATTAATTCCAAGACCAGAGAATGGCAAATCCTGTGAATTTGTCACTGGTATCATCTGTTGTAGGTGTGCAGTGAAGAGATTCATTCTACTTCATTTTAGGCATCAATTCCATGGACCAGAGAATGGGGGCCCTTCCACACAGCTGTGTAACATCCACACGGAACTAGATCATATGGCAGTGTGGACTCAGATAATCCAATGAACAAAATCTGGCTACCAGTATTTAAAAAAAAACTCTAACTGTAAATAAAAAACAACACTAAAACACAGGGGAACTCCAGACAAGAAACAAACAGGGCCAGCTAATCACCTCTCAACAAAGGATCCCCCTAAAAACTGTCAGGCCATGAAATGGTAATCAAGGTGGCCAACTGAAACATTCATACCTACCTCCAACAGACAAGAGTTCTTTCTCCCACCCTGGATCTTCTACAGACATATAAACCCAATGTTCCTAGTTAAAGGTTTTCCTCCGACATGAAGTCCAGTCATGTCTGACTCTGGGGTGTGGTGCTCATCTGCAGCCTCCCTTGGTTGGCTCACGCTGCCCATCGGGCCTGATGGATTGCGTGAGCCAGCCAAGGGGGTCACAGCACCGCGCGGCCTGTCTTCGCGCAAAGTCCCTCACCAGGCACAGAGCTTTGCGCGAGAATAGGCCACGCGGGGCAGCTGCCCTTGGCTGGCTCACGCTGTCCATCGGGCCTGATGGACAGCGTGAGCCAGCCAAGGGAGGAGCAGCACCACTCGGCTTGTCCCTCGCCAGGCACAGAGCTTCGTGTAGAGCAGCTGCCCTTGGCTGGCTCATGCTGCCATCGGGCCTGATGGGCAGCGTGAGCCTGCCCAGGGAGGAGCAGCACCGCTGGCCTACTCCCCGTGCGAAGTCCCTCGCCAGGCACGGAGCTTCGCGCGGGGATAAGCCACGCCGGGCAGCTGCCCTTGGCTGGCTCACGCTGCCCATCGGGCCTGACAGATAGTGTGAGCCAGCCAAGGGAGGAGCACTGAGAGGGTGGCCTGAGAGGGCACTGTGGGGGGGGGGGGGGGCTCCTCCTCCGCGGACCAGATAAGTGCCTTTGGTGGGCCAGAAGTGGCCCGCGGGGCGTAGTTTGAGGACCCCTGCTCTACAGAAACGAAGGACTTCCTCCATAGAGTTGCATTGGGGGACCTAGAAAATGCCTAGAAGGGACATATTTGGTGGAAAATAGACAGAGCTATAAATAATATAAAACCCTATGGAAAGGAAGGACTTCCTGCACAGGAATACCATAGAATTGCCTGGGAGGACTAAGGAAATACCCAGAGGACTATTTTAGGTAGATGAAACTTGGAACAACTATGGAAAGGACTTCCTGCACAGGAATATCAGAGTTGCCCTTGAGGACTAAGGAAATCCCCAGAGAGGACTACTTTAAGCAGTTGAAACTTGGGATAACTATGGAAAGAAAGGACTTCCTGTGCAGGGATACCATAGAGTTGCACCACAGGACCTGGGAAATGCCTAAAGAAGACAATGACAAATCAATGGGGATTTGGGGACTGGGAAAATAAAATATTTGAGATTCACCTGATATTACTCTTTGGAGAAACAGGAAGTTCCATCGACTTTTCGGTCACTGGGGGTAACATTGTAGTGCTGGGTTTGAAGAAGAATGCAGAGTTAAAGTAGTGTCAAACCGGATTAATTCCGCAGTGTAGAGGCTCCCTGGGACAAACTAAACTCAAGGAAATTGGAACATTCTCCATGGAAAGCTGACCTCTATCCTTTGGTTTGGCTTCTTACAACCCAATAAGAAATGAAAAGCATCTATACATTCATATATATATTTATATCTAATTACATATATAATGTATATATAAAATTGAGACATTCATAAGATTCTCATGCCCTGAATTTGCCTTTGATGTAAAAATAGGCTGACCCCGAACATACATGTTTGTTTGTTTCGCAAAGGTTCCTATCTGGGGTAACTGGATCAGGATCAAAAGGTGGTGGATATATCAGTTATTCTCCAACTTAAATTTATTGGGGTATTTAGAGCACAAAACCCACCACGGTTTGAAAATACGCCCCCCAAAATGAACACCACAGCACAGAGCTAGAATGGATTAGTTCTGTAGTTATATGTGGATGCAATGCTTAGACATGGCCACAAGGGGGCAATATAGAAAGGAGGAGGATGATGGTGGTGATGATTTTACCTGTTCTGGAGGTTGAGGCACATCCATGGTGATGGAAAGGTTGAAATCACAGAGGTCGCTTCCTGTGGTGAACAGATAGGTAGGACTTCGGAGGAAGGAGGGTCAAACTGTCTCCATGCGGGGAGTCCATTGTCAAAAGTAGTGGAGAGCAAGGATGCAAAGAGATTGGACTGTGGCGGGTTTGGGTCCTTTGAAGCCCCAGTGAACTGGAAGAAGGTGAGCCGCCGAACTGGGAAACGCAATTTTCTGGCCCAGAGGCGGGAATAACCTGGCGAGAACAGCGCCAGAATGGTCTGGAGTCCAACAGGGCACCCGCCATCTTTTTTCACATGGGACAAGTTCAGGATTGGCCCCGTAATACTTTGGGAAAAGAGAATTGAGAATGTCCACTCAAAGGGCAGCTGCATGGCCGTTTCTTTCCAAGTTGGCGTCGATTTCTGTATGGGAACAGGCACCATTTTGAACTGGAACAACGGCGTAGCAAAGGATAATTTCGACCTCAGGTCCAAGATACAAAAGCCAGCCGATTCAAGAGGAAATAACGAGAAAGTTGACTGCAAATTGGACTTCTGAACGTTCGCGTTCACAACAGATGATAATAGATCTGGTATCATTTTGCGTCCGAATCTGGGGATATTCAAGGCGGGTTTCGACCTCTGAGGGGGCGAAATTGTATTGGCGAGTACAGACAGCTTCCTCAAAAGGCTCATCTCTTCAGTGCATTTGCTAGGCTTGAAAATGTCCACCAAGGAGGTGATACGCTGTCTAGTCGTCCTTCTGGGAGGATCCATATTGCATGGAGATGTTTGTGGCACTTCTGCGGCCATTTTCGGTAAGCTAAATGGGTGCTTTATTGTTCGAAGAGGGCAATCGCTGTGAACGGACCGAACAATCTGAGAAGGAATCGGTTTGCTTAACAATCGTTGATTGTTTCCGGAGCTTTCCGCAGATGTTTTCTGCCATTTCGGTAACCCCCAATGTAGATGGAGGGCTCTATTATTGTTTCTAATGCTCTCCATTCTTCTGGAAAAGCCATCAAAAGGGCGCTCGGTTTTTAGTATTTTCCTCCGTTTCTTTCGATTGGAAGAAGATACAGCCCTGAGGCATTTCAGAGGAGGACACATCAAGATATCTGGAAGCGAGCGTCCATTTTGTAAGGCCAAACTCGTTATTTCAGATGGATCGTCAGACATAGTATCGTCAAATTTTGGGTTATTTTCCAGCTCCTTAAAAGGTTGTGCGATTTCTTCCTTGTCGGCAGGAAATGCAGAGGTCAGCAACTCAGTTTGCTCCATTGAAGGCTCTGAAGGATCAGGTCTTTTTTTCAGAGAGGAGTCTCCATCGGGCGACGTTTGAGTTTCTTCAGGATTGAGGAACGAAGTTTGAGTCCTATCATCTATTTGTCGTTCTTCTGGGATAAAATGTTGGGTTTCATCAGGTTTATGGACTGAAATCTGAATAATTTCATTGGACTCATCAACATCCCTTTCCGTAATTGTTTTGAGGCCCTCTGAAATGGTACATGTCTCAAGGACCAAGCAGAGATCATCTATGTATGGTACACTAGGCCTCAATGCTTCCACCATATTCTTTGTCCTGCTTTCAAGGCCACCGATCTCATTATTATTGCTGCCATTTTGACTCGTGGGTGGCATTTCTTCATTAAGGGGCAAATGCATCCTACAGGCCCCAAGGCGTTCTCCATCAAGAGACACAGCAGAAGTGATGTCAGCCTCGTTGGCCATCTTGGTTGTCTCTGGACACTTCTCTTGCGGCAGTGCACTTTCATCCGATTCAGGGTCACAGTAGAGTGGGGGAGAATGGGAATTGATGCTTAAATTATAGCTGAAAGAATTCCTTTCTGCGCAAAGGGTCTTGCTTCCTTCGTCCAACATAGCCAATTCTCCATCTATCGGAAGGGGAGATATCTGACTATTCATACCTTGGTCTATGGTTGGCAAAAGGACAGGATCGCAAAGAGAAGGAACGCCATGTTGAAAAATTATCCTATCCTCAATGGATCCATCTTCGGTTGATGGAAGAACAATGTTCTGGAGGGGGGAGATGTCATTTTGCAAGGCTGTGTTACTTTCCATGGATCCACCTCTGATTAGCAGGCGGGCGTGATTGAGAAGAGGAGCACTGCCACTGGATCCACCTGCAGCTGACGGAATGACACCATTTTGGAGGGGAGGGGCGCCACTTTGGAGGGGAGGGGCGCCACTTTGTAATGTGATGCTATCCACCAGGGCTCCATCTTTGGTTGGTAGAAGGTTGAGCTGGCAAGAGCCACCATTTTGTAGATTTGCACTGGAACCATTTCCACTTGGCAGAAAAAGGACATTTTGGAGAGGGCAGACACCATTTTGGAGGGGGGCGACGCCATTTTTTAAAGTTACACTATCTACCCCGGATCCATCTTTGGTTGATGGAAGGTTGAGGTCACGAGGGATGCCATTTTGGAGCAGGGAGAGGCAATTTTGTAGATTCTCAAGGGATCCATCTTCAGTTGGCGGAACAAGAATATTTTGGAGGGGCAAGACACCATTTTGTACAGCCACACTTTCCGCCATGGATCCATCTTTGGTTGGCGAAAGGACGAGATTGCAGGAGAAGCCAGTTTGTAGATTCTCAATGCATCCATTCCCAGTTGGTGGAACAAGGATATTTCCAAGGGGAGGGACACCATCTTGTAAAGCCACACTATCTGCCCTGGATCCATCTTTGGTTGGCAGAAGGCCGAGGCCATGAGAGATGCCATTTCCTTCTCTACCTATTGTCGCTCCACCATTTCCGTTTCCATTGAATTTTTCAAGGCGACTATAGGAATGATCCACTTTTTCCTCACATTCGCTGTAAAGACCTTCGCAGCTCCAATCATCTTCCATCTTTATTTCAGAGCCCCATTCATCCAGGAGCTCGATTCCCGAGTTTTGCCCCTCTGTTCCACAAACGAGTTCGAGAAGGTCTGTACCTGTGCTTCCAAAATCCCAATAAAGGGAAGCGTCCACAATAACCCCATTTTCGCCAGTGTAGTGATTCTTGTTTCTCCAATCCTTCTGAAAACATGAACGTTCTCCGGCGTCCGTCAAATTGCAAGGTGTTGATCCTATCATCTCAGTGTCTCCCATGAGGCTCAGCGGCTCAAGGGATGGCAAGGTGGCTGTTTCGAAAATGGGGATTGCAACCTCCGACCTCCAACCTTCACTCAACTGGGCTGTCCTCTGCAATGCCAATCCTGTTTCGGATTGGAGGGGGTTCCCGGGGGTCAAGGGCTCTGTGGCTTCTTCTTTGGGGCCCCATTTGCAGCAGAGGGCGGCCAAGGCCTCTTCCTCTTCAGCCGGATTCGTACTCGGGACCCGGGGAGCAACATAGGGCTCTTGCACCAAAACGGCCGACATCAAAGAGGGAGGAGAAGACGACAATGACAACGCCCTGAATCCCTCTCCTGGAATCAGGGGGGCCCCGGTGCCCCGGAGTCCATCTTTAGAAGCCTTGGCCACTTCACCTCCTCAAAGGGAGCCAGGAGAAAGGCCAGTGAACAGCATTAAGAGACTCCTCCTTCTTCATCTTCTTCATCACCTGGCCGGAAGGAGGGGAGGTACCTCCTCTTTGCTCTTTTTTCCTTTTCCTGATGGAGGAAACAGAGGGAAAAGCTTGAGTGAGAGACCCCAACTCCATCCCCAATACATTACCTCCCCTTCAAAGAGCCCCCCAAATCCCCCACTTTTTCCCCCAAGACACCAAATTTCTCCCCAAAATCAATTTCCAAAGAACCCAATTTTCCTTTAAAAAAAACTCCCTAATTTCCTCTCCAAAGACCCCATAATCTGTTTAAAAATACCCTCCAATTTCCACTCAAAAGGCCCCTGAATCTCCCTTAAAAGACCCCATAAATTAAGACCTCACTATTTCCTCTCAAAAGACCCCATAACCTCCTTTAAAAGACCCCTTAATTTCCCCTGAAAATTTCTCTCAAAAGACCCCTTATCTTGAGACCATAATTTCCTCTCAAAAGACCCCATAATCTCCTTTAAAAGATCCCCAAATTTCTTCTCAAAAGACCCCAATTGCCCTGAAGAGACCCCTAATTTCCCGTCCAAAGACACCTAAATCTCCTTTAAAAGACCCTTAAATCTTTAAAAGACCACTTAATTTCCTCTGAAAAGACACTGATTTCTCTTTTTAAAACCCTATAATCCCATTTAAAAGACCCCCAATTTCTCTGAAAAGACCCCACAATTTCCCTTAAAATACCCCTTAATTTCCACATAATCTTCCCTTAAAAGACCCCCAATTTCATAGAATCATAGAATCAGAGTTGGAAGAGACCTCATGGGCCATCCAGTCCAACCTCCTGCCAGGAAGATTATGAGGTCTTTTCCCCTCAAAAGACCCCATAATCTCCTTTAAAAGACCACTTAATTTCCTCTCAAAAGACCCCCTAATTTCCACTCTAAAGACCCCTGAATCTCCCTTAAATTATCATATATTGGATTGCTCTTATAGCATTATTATATTATATATTATTATTATTATTATAGAAGTAGTAGAAGTATGTATTTGCAAATTATGAGAAATTATATATATTTATACACAAACACACACATATTTGAAAGGTATGAGAAATTGTGCCTGATTTATTATTATATATTATTATATTATAATCAATGAATAATATTTTATATTATTATATCATGGTGTTATTATAATATTATAAGGTAAAGGTTTTCCCCTGACATTAAGTCCAGTCGTGTCCGACTCTGGGAATTGGTGCTCATCTCCATTTCTAAGCCGAAGAGCCAGTGTTGTCAGTAGACACCTCCAAGGTCATGTGGCCAGCATGACTTCATGGAGCGCTGTTATAATATAATATTATATACTACATTATTATAATATTGACAGTTTGAAGCCGGGTCAGGGTGAGCTCCTGACCTTCAGCCCCGTTCCCCTGCCCATCTGGTGGATCAAAAACAGCAATGTGAGTAGATGAATACGAACCACATTAAGTGGGGAGGTATTTTATGTAAGAAATATTAAATATTAACTATTTTGGATTACAAAAGTGTGAGTCAAGCACTGAAAGAGTTAGTAGGTGGAAGCCTGTTAGAGCCAGGGGTACAAAGCCAGTGTCTTCCTGAGAATGAGTAGGTCGAAGCCTGTTAGAGTGAGTGGGCCTAAGCTAGTGTCGTTCTGAGGACTGTGCGTGAGAAGCTTTGGTGAAAGAAGCCCCAGGTTAAAGGCCTCGTGCGTAAAACTGTGTGTAAAGTTACTATGTGAAGCTCCAGGATAAGTTCATTGTGAGAGGAGCCTCTGTGAGATTGAAGCTGTTTATCTGCATGAGGAAGAAACCCAGCATGGAAGGAAAGAAGGAAGTATAAAGGACTTTATTTGTGTTATAGAAACCTTGTTATTGTAAATAGTGCAACTATATTATTTTACTACGAAGAAAAGCCTTCTATGGAAGATATAACTTTGGTCTGTGTGTTTTTGTTCTTTTTATCACTTCTGGTTACTGGTGCTGGGTTACACTGCTGCTAATAAGTTACTCTGCTATACATTCATGGGGAGGGTCCTTCAGTAATAAGCCCACTCGTCCAACATTTTAGGCACGGCGTTTCGGAGAAAAGTTGACGAAGAAAGAAAACTTTTTGGCAAGGAAAAGGAGCAACAGCACACCCCTGTGGCTGGAACAAAGCACAGCCTCCAAAAGATGCCGAATGATGAGAAATAAGCCTAACCCTAACCCTATCTATTGCCTGTCTTGACATTGTATACTCGGCATTGAATGTTTGCCGTATATGTGTTCTGTGATCTGCACTGAGTCCCCTTCAGGGTGAGACAGGCAAAATAGAAGTACTGTAAATAAATAAAATAAAAATATAATATCTATATAAATAAAAATGCAATGTTCATTTGTGGGCTTCACATAACTCAAAAACCACTGGACAAATGGACACCAAATTTGGACACAATACACTTATCATGCCAATGAGTGAGCATCACCCATCAAACACTGAAAAACACAGTGGAAGGGACTTAAAAAGTCACACACCCCCGTCCAAAAGATGCTACAACGCATGCACAAAATGATTCCCCCTGGCAAACATAACACACAATAGCATATCCACACTCTCTTCCGGACTACAGCTCCCAGCATCCCTTAGACCAGGCCCTTTAGGAGAGGAGGTTTAACACAGCTGGCAAATCATCAGCAGTTATAAGATCTATCAACCAAAAGGTTGCAAGCTCAAAGCCCCGGGTTGGCGTGAGCTGCCAACTGTCAGACTAGCTCATTGTTTACCTAAGCAATTCGAAAACAGCTTTAGCTGTGATTAGAGAAATTAGGTACCGCTAAAAGTGGGGGAGATGTTTTACGACGCCATAAAGAAAAAATATCAGAAAATGTTGGTTAACCAAAAGGAAGGAAAAGTCCTGATGGCTCTTTGTCATAGAGAATAGACTCAAGCCCAACCTTCCATGGCACCAAAAACAGCTGGACACTGAGTCGAAAGAAAAGGGGGGGGGGGGAAGAGGAAGAGAAGGAAAGAAAAAAACGGAAGGAAGGAAGGAGAGAAAGAAAGGAGGAAAGAGAGAGGGAAGGCTGGCCACAGCAACGCGTGACGGGTACAGCTAGTATATAACAATATAAGAATAACATATAATAATACAATAACATATAATAAGTTACACATACTATAACATAATAATATAATATAAATATAACTATAAAAATATAACTATAATATATATTATTCTATACTAATCTATACACACAATCAAAGTGAAAAGATGTATATGTGTGTGGCTGGGGTGTTCACTTACACAGACAAGCTCCTGCCTCCACAAATAGCTATAGCTCCCACAACTCAGGAGACATCAAAGGCTCTCTGTCCAATGACACTGCAGGTTATAGAGCACACTGTAAACACGTACAAGGGCCCTGCCAATGTCCTCCACAAACACCATACTCCGACCACTCAAGTGAAGGCTTTCATACGGGGACAATTTCATCCTAGATTTTATGTGTTTCCTCCACCACAGACACCCCAATGTTTCTGACTCTCCATTGGTGTGGAATTTGCATGACCCCACCCCCTGCCTCTCCCTTAACCCATTCCAAGTATTTTCTATGGCACACAGCAAACACAGGAATTCATCAGCAACTGAACATACTAGAGAGGTTTGGGGAGAATTC